GACCCACGATCTTGGAACGCTTCCATACCCCGGATACCCGGCATCGATTCAAGTCTCCCAAGTCCCAATCCGTCCGGGGGCCCATCTCCGGAGACCCGCTGCAAGAATACGGCGTCGAAGCCCAGAACGAGCGCTTCCGAACGTCATTGAATCGCTATCCTCGTTCCGAAGGACATCAATACTCAGATTGCCGGTAATCATTGTGATCGATATCGACTGTCTTGGCGTGCTGCAAGCCAGTCTAGGAAAATGCCGAGGCACACGAGCGCGCCAGACGTCCCCAGAAGAGTCCGATTTTATGCGAGTTTTATTGGAAAGTTTTCATCGAAGGCATCTCGAAGGAACTGACGAAATGGTACGGCCGAGCTGAGGGATGAGCCGTCGTTTGGTCGAGACGCTTGCGTTCGGGGTCGGAGAGGCTCATTGACCAAGTCTTTCTCGCGGACCTACAGGGCACTTCGATCGCGGATTACGGGGCGAGGATGAATCGTAATTGGAGTGAGGAATGTCACGGATACTATTGAACTCACCCGAGACGTTCGGGCAAGTTCAATTATTGTACCCGTTATGTCATCTCTCATGCGGTCGCTCCCTGGTTATTGAGCTGAACGAATATCCATTTCGCTCTCGCGGAAAATCGCAGCTCGGACAATTTCGGAAAATCGCGGCTCATCATTTGCTTCAATTGTGGGTTGCGCATCAGCCGAGAGTCTGATTACCTGAGGGCAGGAAAACGGGGGGGGGGTTATTCGAAAGTTTTCTGAAAAATTACTCGAATGAGGCCGCATATCAGACTGGACCTTCGCCGGCTTAGTCCCCCGCTCATCCCTGTCTGCGTTTCGTCATCTCGGTCTCATTCCGTAATAGGGATGATCTCATCATCGGAATTCAACGGGACGTTGCTGTAATGATGTTAGTTCAAAGCTGTCATGAGCAGGTGACCTGGATTAGCTGGGAGCAATTCAAAATCTCTTCAACAGGCGTGATCTAATCTTTATCAACACCATGAATACTTCCCGAGGTTCCAGCGACGTAATAAATGCATGCTCCAGTCTAGTGTATGCGACCGAGATCCAACTGCGAATAAGTCGCTCCTGAAGCCTTCCGTTCATCTCGGATTTGACCGACTTTATGCAGATGGTGTACTGTTCCCGTATCATTGAACCTACAAGGTCTCCCAAAGAGCAGGTAGCGAGCTTCTGGATAAGGGCTACCCCGCACCATCTTGCTCTCGTACCCGGCCGTGCCCCAGCTCAGACGTGGTGTCGTGTTCCAAAAGTGATCGGTGGTGAGTTTTCCGCAATTGGTAATTATACGACTATCAGGATGCGATGCCTCTTCGATAATGGACACGAAATTCCTGGACGCCAATTCGAGGCATATGGGATCACCTCAAAAACATGGGCGTCTCTGTCTACAGCGTGACCCGTTCGACCGACTTTGATCTCATGCACGTATGATCCACAGATGTTGGTTTGAGCACTCTCCGAGAGACCGTCGTCTTCCCGGAGTTCTTGGACCGAGATTGGTTCAAGGAAAGTTTCATCGCACCCTCAAGAATTTCAGCTTGGATAGAATCGATGTTCTAAGGGCTTTTCGGGGGAGAGAGCGCTTGGATACATCTCGGAGCCCCCTTCCCCCTACTGAAACTCATGTCGGAGCTTCGATGCTCACCCCGCGCCGCATCGGACAATTATCATCGACGCAGCATATGGGAGCAAGCTCTCTGTAGAGTTTTTTTTCAGCCAGTCCTTCCCAGCCCACCGCTGTTCTCGCGTGAGCACCCGGTATCGAGCTCCCTGGAGGCGCAGCGGGGAACGTCCTTGGGGGCACCGGACCCCGATACGTGTCCTGTCTTTTGCTTATGCGTTGACCGCTTCGCAGCTGTTGCGACAACCATTGCATTTGTTTGCTGGGAAATCTTTCCGTGGTCGAATGTCATACGATCGAAACCTCGATGCCTCGGAAGTCCGTTGCCTTTCAGGCTATCGCGATCATCCCAGCGCTGATCTGTGGAGCCCAGAGGTCCGATCTTAGTGAAGCAAGTATTGCGATTCATTCGAGAGAGGGTTCGAAGAAGTCCGAAACCCACGACTCCAAAGGTCCTCTTTTCTATCGCGCTCCTCGTTTGCTGTTTAGTACCTACATGCCACGGAGCTGATGAAACAATGAAATGCTGCTGTCAAGAACAAAATAAATTTATTGATCCATCTCGTTCTATATAACTCGGTTTTTCCATCAGATCATATACCGGCTCTGAAATCTGATAACGCGTAGTTACAACGTTGAATTCGATCGGCCAACACGTTGGAATTCCATTGATCCGCTGAATATCAAAGCGGACGAATTTCGTCAGTGGGGGACTCAGGAATCCCGACATTCAGAGACTTCGATCCATGTTGCTCGATTAACTATTCGACTAACTGAACTGTCGCTAGCGTCAATGTACCGATTGACAGACAAATCAGCCTCTGATTTGAACACATGGAGAATTATCGATCAACCAACGAGTTGACTACGCTGCGAATCTAGGAAGTTCTGCTGATAAAGTTCTAATTCACGCAGACCTACGAGGCTGTGCCGGTGATCGAGCGGCGGTCGTTCGTAACTTATCCGCGTGATAATGTCGCGCAGTTCCCTACTCCCAGAGAACTCCGCTTTGAAATCTATGCTCAAGTGACTGCAGTTTGCAGTATTTCCTCGGTTGTCTCCTTTTGGTAATCGTACAACCGTCAGCTCCCGCGCAGGACGCGGCGTAACTCAGATAGAATATAGATGACATTCATAGAATATATTTGATGTTTCAATCATCGTTCGATTAGGGAACCTAGATCGTTTTCCCTTTTTTCTGTTTCTCTTCTCCAATTGATCACGATCAGCGACGATCCCGACACCGCATGCGTCCGTTGGATCCGTCGGGCCACCTTGTATGTTATACACTATCTCTTTCCAAGAGAGTCTGAGAGTAAAAGCTTCAATCAACAGAGAAACAGGCTCTGGAGAGGAAAGTAAAATAGGCAACAAGATAACTTATCTGCTCGAAAGAGTTGTATATATATATAATAGGCCGAAACTTTGCATAAAAATGTCATTTTACATTGAGACGGAGGAGTACTGGTTTGGAAGAAAATTTTCAGAGTTTCCCAGAGTCAAGGTAGCGTTAGTTGCTCGAGGAAGATTTTCGGCTGAGGCAACGGACGAACTGGCTATTACGTACGAGCCAGCGACCGCACGTACACGATTCCCTCCTGGATCTCGCTTCCTACCCTTTCGCAGCAAAGAGCCCCAATGATCTACAGCCTCGGAGTAACTTTCGGGGGCGACAGCTTGAGCACTGCTTCTCTGCTTGTACACAGCCACCTGTCGATAGCCGCCTGTAGACGGCCGACCGCTGGATGGGCTCCATCCACGGCCGCCGCATGGCTCCGTTGCTCAGTGAGCTTCTTCCGAAAGTACGAACGCTGCCTGATCAAGCTAGGCTCCGTACGGGTCGAATCGGGTTTGATTGTTCCAGTGCATTCAATATGTATGCATGAGTTTGCATCTATGTTCTGAGTATGTATGCAGTTACATGTACACGTATGCGATGCGTATGCAATACGTTGTTCGAGGTGCTTCTCCGCCGCCACGCTCTTGGGCTCGCGTACGCTTCATTTTGGCAGGCGAGCGTTCCATTTCGAATTCTCATTGGATATCCGCGTCGAATCGATGCACATCGACTTCGGACACGAAGCCTGCTCGCCTGCCTGTTCCCCATTCGACCCTTCCACCTCTTGCTTTTCCTCTAGGAAGCATTCACAGATTCAGTATGATATGATATGCTCGTGGACTGATGGACTGATGCTCGTCCGTACGTAGGTGTCTTCACAGGAAAGGGTGCTGAACAGACAGGCGAATCGAGACGATACATCCCCCGAGGTGCGTCCACGGGCGGAGAGTAACGAACGTATAGGTCATCGCCCGCGAAAATCTGCTTTGTAGAAATAGATGCTTTTTGGAAAGATTCACGGTTGGTTTTGTTCACTTCCGCTTCCAACGAAATACCTAACCACGGATCCCGATCGATCAAAACTCGCTTCGGAATGCGAATCTCAATCGATTGAATTCGAGATCCGCATGAAAAGGATTGTCCACAGAAAGAAGTTGATATTGGGAGAGATACGACGGTACTCTCGGTGCTAAGAAGGTGCAGTGGTCACTGAGTCGAGTATGTTGTATATAGGTGGAATCGTATGCTGACATGAGATGATCGAATGCGTCACGTGGAACGCGCATCATGTACACGAGTCTAAAGACTTGCCATCGCCGTGTGGGAAAGGAATGTCGTGTATCGGATTGTCGTTCAGATTGCCTCTGTGTCATAGAGACAGAAAGATTGATAATTGTCAATATATCGCTCATGAATAGCACAAGTTTCGACGGCAAGGAGTCTCCACAGCAAAGCGCTCTCCTGAATCCGTCGATTTTCATTGTCTCACTATTCGACATGAAATCTGCTGAAAGTAGAATTTATTGGAGCGTCGGTCTATATTTTCGTCCCAAAGTTATTGATGTATGGAATAAAACTCGTCCGAAATTCAATTCGGCGTTGTGTGTTGTCCGAAAAATATCCTACTCTCAAACGTATTGGTATCGGTGACAGAGTCTCATCAAGCTCGCTGATGGGAAAATCACTGAGAACCTTGTCATCTGGGGCGAACAGTGTTACAGAAGTCTTCCTCACCCCCTGAGGGATGAATCACAACAGAAACAGGTGCGGAATCACATGATGGGTGAGTTATCCTCTGTCGTGTCGACATCTTGAGGAAACCAGCGAGAAACTAACGTAAGCTTGACGTCCACAGTGAGGAACATGAGATATAGCGACGTCATTGATGGGGCTCATCCTCTTCGGTTTATTATCGCTGTGTTGACTGAGGTGCTAGAATATGCGAACGATAGGGAACTGTCAGAAGCAAAACGTCACCAGAGTGAGTTTTGATGAGACATCCGGAAGCTCATTACTCCATGAAGCCGGTTGAAGCCAAACGATCGAGGAATGATTTCATGTCCATAAGTTCGGAATCGCGGAATCCCAGCGCCCTGAAACAAAAGACGAGCTTTGACTTCATTTCCTCCATCAGCACCAGTCACAATGACTCTCATAACGAGGTCTCGGGGGACAGTCCCCGATGGACGTCCCCCAGTCTAAAGTTTCCCAGAATTGGTAGGACCCAATAACTCGAGTGGAGAGTGAAGATAATGTGCTCCGAAATCTCTCTGACTGTCACAGATAGTGAAGGAGGAAGTCGGGTTGACCGTCAGAAAATCCCATCATTAGCAAGGACTTGGGATACGTTATCAGCACGACAGCATGAGCACGCTGGGGATTCTCGCTTGTTGACGGTCTCTGCTGTTCGACAAATGAGTTCTAGTACCCTTTCCTCACCAGTAGTAGTCTCGCAGCAGGACCCGCTGAGAGCATTCATTACAGACGCGAACCACAGCTCAAGCTCTTTCTCGCTGCGGCATTCCGTCGGAAAGAAACACTCAATCAATAGCGACGACGAGGCTTACCTCAGGAGGGATGTGTCCCCTGTCTCGACAGCCATGAATACATTGCGCAGATGCTCGAGATCACCGCGCATGAGATTGAGAGCTTTTCCAAAATCGTCTAGGGTCTCGCTCTCTGGAATGAAGAAGCTGGCATTCAGTACGGTAACCACCGCTTCCAGCAATGATCATCGTTCCTTCCTGGCGAAGGGTCGGACTCCGGAACTTTCTCCCGCAGTGAGTACAATGCCCCTCTCGGGGAGCTCGGGAGAATGGAGTCGGCATTCAAAAACTTGACCAGGCTCGAACGTCGTCCTCCGAATAATGCCAGGGAAGGAATTCGCCGAAACTGACAGCCTTCGGCGGTTGGAAGCTCGAGCTTGGGAAGATAGAACAGAAGAACACGGAACGGATGATAAATAGGATGAACAAAGCCGGCGCGAAGCTCGGCAAGATAAGACAAAGGAGACGTGGATTTCAGCACCAAAATCACGTCCGGAGGCCGCTGGATTGGAATTTGAGCCTCGGACCGAGCAAAGTCGCTCTTCACAGAACTTTCCAAATCTGGCTTAGATAAATCGTCCGGAGTGCTCTCCTCCGGAAACCGTCTAATTGAAATTAGAGGCTGACATTCTTCCCAGGAACCATACTTTCAAAGGGCTATCGATTCCACCGTCTGAGCTGAAGGGAAAAGTAGCTTGCAGTGCGAGGTCCGGCCCAGAGGTCAACAAAGTGATATTTCTTCTCCAACGGGCCAGCAATTCCTCCAGAAACTTTTTTTTATACTGCCACTCTGGGAATAAGGCGCCATTCGACTGGGCTGTCGAAGTGCCCGAGCACAGCGAATGCGAAATCGTACCCATGAGCGCTGCCGGGCGGGCTGTCATTTCTCGTGAGAAAGATAAGGCTAAAGAGGCGCGAGGAAATTACCTGACAGGGCTACAGCGACCGTCTGGACTCCGCCGAGAGGCGCGAGCGCGCCGCGAGCCTTTGGGCCGAAAAGCTTCTCGAGGTAGTTGGGCCCGTGTCGACTGAGTAGACTCTGCATGAATGAAGCTGTTTCCTCCACCGGCGGCCGTTTCGCTGCAAATAAAGGCCGAATGATCAATAATTCCTGTGGTTTGGATGTTTTTGCTTCCCCTCGAATTCGGCTCAGGAGCAGTTCTCGGGTCGAGAGAATCACTTGCTCGACGCATCCAAAAAAGAGGAAAAGTAGATATCGGAAAGGTCTCTTCTGGTGATTTCAGGCGAGGGGTTTGAGCATCCTCAATGTCAGAGCACCCTCTCAATACAGTGAACTCCGTTCGCGAACATCGCTGGGGGGAACCTCCGCTCACGGGGCCCAGTATTAGAGCCTCTCGAACGATATCCCGCGCCGCTTTTATATTCTAAAATTAGAATTCCAGATTCATTGTTCTACAACATTTTTTCACGGGGAGCCCAGTGGTTACCTGACCCATACCGCTAAGTAAGGAGAAAGTTACAGCTTTCGCGAATTCATTCAGAACGAGAATCTGATAGCTCCTCTTTGTGGATTCGGCTCAAGTCACCGTTTCCGCAATACACAGTGTCAGCTGTCGAGGGGAATTTGCAATCCGGAATTCAAACATATCGGGCGCTTCATTACGTCAGAAACCATTATTTGAAATCGAATTGCCGATACGGCGACCTTCCCGAGCTAGGATGTTCAGAGGGACGTAGATCAATGTCGAGTTGCGACCTTCGGACCCGCTCACGGAGAATAGGTATTCGAGACGAAATCCCCTCCCCGCTGTCATGATAAGGAGCAAATGTAATAGGTATCCAGCATGGACAGGCGATATTCTGTCGACTTCCAAAAATGATCGATCCCCTTCCGATCTGAGTCCATGCTTCGTGGTAATGAATTCCCCATTAAACAGCGAGACCGATGCATATCACGGCGAGCTGATTGATGACGATTCCGAGCTCCCTGCTCCCTTCAAGTTCACGGCAATCTTCCGCATTTTCGCTCATAGTAGATCGCTCTACCAAGAGTTTTTTCCGCACATCGCTGAACCCTGCATTTTGTCTTCGGACTGGATGCTCGCGAGCTGAACCAAGGACAAGACGGAATTCCGATATAACCGAATGTGTCTGCTGCATGAAGTCGTTACGATCTGAATCGGGCATGGCAACAATAAATAAGACAGAATACCCTTTGGGACTGTGTGTGCGATGGAGTTTCCATGTTGCGAGCCGTCTCGAGATAGAACAGCGCTCTCGTCTGTCTGTCGCCCTGGGAACCTTTGCATGGTATTGTGTGGGAGACGGCGTCTGTTGTGCGACGCGACTCCCATGTAACCAAGTTAATCCCCCTAGTTGACCCGTTATCTAAAGGTCCTTCATGCTTTTATTTCAGCACGACGGAGCAAAATCTTCTTGTTGCGCGAACGGGGGATAGTTTATGAATATTATGCTAAACGAATGCTTAGCTATACAGCTCCAGTCACAAACAAAACTCACCTGCGGTGCACAGAGCGGCGTGCTCGTCGTATCCATCAGGGCAATCTGGCGCTCCATCACACAGATACTGAATACTGATGCAAACCGTCGACTTGCCTGGGCAGCGGAATGGCTGAGTGGGGTGACAACGCTCCGTCTCCACTGGAATGGAAATAAGTCGATTTGAAGCGCATCTAGGTCAGAAGCGACAGTTGACTCGATTCTCCCATGCGATGCTTTATCGCGTTCGAAACTTCTCGATCCGCGTCGACATGGTCTCGATCATTCTGCGCAAAGTGCGTCGTCTAGACTAGAAATTTCAAAGTTCGTTCCGGCGCTTCGAGGCTTGTCGCTGCTTCTCCGCCTTTCAACTCCTGGCTGTAGGAGGGCGGAGCCTGTCGCTTAAGCTTCGTGCAATTCGGCTGAGCCCATCCCTTTTTTCCTCAGCCGTCCTCGAGGCACTCTTATCTTGCTGCGCGTTCGGTTGACTTACCCGAGAGTCGTAGACCTCTAATGAAGACTGTAAACACGTCTTCTCGAGTGGGAGAACCCGCGAGCAGAAAGCGCCCGATAGCCGCATGATGCTTATCTAGCGGTTCTGTCTCCTCTCGCTGTTTCTGGATAGGCTCGTGTGGTAGGCTACGAGCAAGCACGGCGACTGCGCTCTCGGATCCCAGCGGAGGATTCATGGAATGAGCCAGCCTCTCGAGTATAACTACGAGATGAGTCCGCCAACACCCCCCAGACCCTGGAGGACTGTTTCAGTAGGGTCGCCTTGTATATGGTCGCCAGACAAGCTAATCCACGATGCCCGACTGCCGAGGGAGCTCCGAGGAGCAACATTTTTCTCTTCGGACGAACCTCTGTAGCCACGGCACGGTTGTGTGCGAGAAATATTGACCCTCTCCCCCTTTCCGATCTCAAATGGATCAAGTCTGTATGGTCAAGTGTATACGAATATGGTCGGAATTCCTGTATGTCACGCAGGAATGTTCGCTCGACAGAAACCCCATCGTGTTGATGGGCACTACAAGACCTCAGCAACGTCCCGTTGACACGGACGGAAAAAATCGCTTTTCCTCCCTCCCGACCGACCGTCGTGCTTGGCATTGTGTGTCCTCGACGAGCTTGATCAATGAGATCTACAATAAGTCGTTTCTCCGATCGCGCTGATCGCATTAGGCTGTAGCGGGTATTCGGATAGTACGCAGAAGATCTGCGGAAATATACGTCCCCCTCGAATAGAGAATCATTCAAGGGGCGCCCAGCTGCGCGAAATTCAAGCGCACCGTCAAGCTACAACAGAAGCATCCGTCGAGGGCAGCGGCATCGCGTGAGCCTGATATCGCTGGACAGGCTCATTGTTCTCCTGTTAGACGAGCCGGTCCGGGGATGATGTTCCGGTTCTCGACCGCCGTTTCGGACTCCGCGACGTCTGCTGTAGTGTTCTATGGTGTTTGCACCATAGTGACTCGGTCGAGTTGAGCATTCCAAATCGTATACTTCACGAATGTCTCCTGTGGTCCCCGGGACCTTCCACGCTTTGCGCCGAGAGTTTCGGAAAAACGTTCACTTCATCTTCGGTGACCTTCCGAAGAGGCGACGGGGAAACTCTTGACAATGATAAAGTACACCCGGGACAAAGCATCCCTGTTGAGTATGTGGGTGATACGCATAGGACATAAGTAAGAAAGCGCACGAAACTGCGAGGCAGGATTTCTGAATGATCTGAACAACTTCCGGATAAAAACAGGACAGAACTCGGTCCTTCTCCGCCCCAGGCATTGCGACGGGAGAGATAATCCTAGGAATTCGATGTCCTCCCGCACAATGCCTAAGGCTCTGGCCTCCGCAACGTTCAGTGAACACAGTGGAGAAGTCTAGGCCGGTACGATAAGCGCCGTTGTGTAGAACAAAGAACGAAGAGACGTAGCTGGAGGAAGCATGGGAAGGAGGGAGATTGAAGGGACAAGACGACAAACTTGAAAAAGTATCCATGGGATAAGAAGCATTATACGGCCGCACCAACAGCAGCCCTGTCAACCAGGGTCGCGCATAGGATTTTTTTGGAGGGAGCAAGCCGACTTCTGGTGCGGATCACCCGACCGGAATGATGACGCGCCTCCTAGGATTATTAACATTAGAGCCAAACAAAATTTTCATCATCAATGCATCCCCACACCCTGTGCGCGCCTCCGCTCTCAACATGACGGGTGGAAACGTCGAATCAGCTTGGAATCCTGTGAACCGTTGCGCCTTCTTGGAGATTCCTGTACGAAAACTCTCTCCCCGTGAAGCACCATCTGAGAGACCATTTGCGAAGTTCCCGAAATTCGCGCAATTGATGCTTCTCGATATCTCGTCACGATACCAGAAAAAGTTGAACAGCGATGTCTGATTCGCTGACTACACAATCCGGCTGCTGAGCTCGGGACTCGCCCGTAGGAATAAATAAGGAAGGGAACGCACCTTCTCTCTTAACGTTGCTGCTCGACGAAAGATGCATACTCGGTCCTCCACGATCCATGAGTCGGTCGAGATTGACAAGGTAGGCTCCATCCACCAGGGACAGGACGGCGATCGACATACCCAGCAACATGACAACTCTGTTCATCTTCCTCTGCAAAAAAACAACAACACATTAGACGACGGCTGCCTTAGGAGAAAATAAGCGTCTTTCCAGAATCTGCAGGTGGACAATAATAATTGTTCCCAGATTATAATTCAGACGGGGTGCCGCGGATCAGGTATCGTCCGGAGCGTGAGTGACGTCCGTTGAGAGAATCCTCTCAAATAACCCACTTTAATTGATCATGCGGGAGGTCTCGGCGAGTGGAATGACAAGCGCCGTGACGAGCCGCCCAGAAGCTCACAGAGAACTTTTGAGCTTCCGTATTGAGTTTCGGCTCACGTCGCGTAAACCTCCTCGACCTTCAGGCTCCGCTCAATTCAAGCTCATTTGAGCTCAATCGTATTCAGGCTCCAGAGTTCTCCTGGGCGGACAGAGCGTCAGACGTGGTGAGGCTCACGCGGAGGCTTTTGTTTTTCTCTAATTGACGCAGCCTTTATTAGGTTATGGTGTCTGAAAAATCCAGTCGTGCCCGAATGCGTAGAGCAGTGAAGCTCCAGGCTTCGAACTCGTGTATTATACGAGGTCCGAGTTCCTGGGAGATGAGGAGAGAGATCTCATCTCGTATCCATGAGGAAACTTGATCACCCGGAGGACAGCTCCGCGAATCAGAGAGCGCGGAGAAGAACTTGATCGAAGGACTAGCGAGCGAGATTTCCGAGTTGTCGACCCCGTATCAGGAATCCCCTCTCCCGGATTTTGTTCTTGTCGATGAGGAGGGAACTATCGGAAAAACACGGAGTGAGGAATCTCGGGGTATCGACAGGCTTCCCGCGTACTCCGTAGCATGGGACGAATGATGGGACATGGGTAGGGCTGGGCTCCGATCGCGGCATTTTTTCCGGAAATTCTCGTGTCCATCGCGGCATTTTTTCCGGAAATTCGCGGGTCCATCGCGGCGATTTTTCCGGGAATCCGCGGGTCGATCGCGGCATCTTCGACCTAATTTCGCGCATCTTTGGAAGAAGGAGGAAGGAGGGATTCTTAACCGTCATCGCGGCTAGTTTTTATTCGGAGAAGTACAAGAGCTTGAAGGTCTCAGAATCTTACAAGCACTATTCAGATTTCACCATTGTAATGACACAGCTTGCTATACATGCTGAGGTTCCCATTTTTTATGCAACGCCTGTCGTCACGGAGAACCCCAGAATACTGGCTGAAGGATCTCTCCGCGTCGCAGTGGTGCGCTTTCCCATGGTGCCGCCCGGGGCGGTGACCGAAAATTTTCATTTTTCGGACGCGATCAACCAAAATGCCGCCCCCTGTCCGAATATTTCTCGCGGGAAATTTCGAATATTTGCACGAAAATACCCGTCTCTTTGAATGTCGATCTGAATGCCCCCCCCCCCCCAAAGTCGCCGCCCGGGGCGGACCGCCCCTCCCCCACCAAAGCAGGCTACTGCCGCGTCGACACTATTCACCGGCTCACTCAGACAACCGAGAGCGATGCCGGCCAACTTTGGGAATCTAGGTGCTGCGTTAAGCCAGACGTCCACTGCTTGCGAGGACGCTCTGAGCTCTTCCGGGCGCGAAAGATACGATCGAAGCTCCGCTCCGGCGAGGTCGTCGTCGAACCATCTTACGTTTTCGACGACGAATTCAGCAGGAATATCAGTGGTCCGCACTTTGGACGGATCGAAAACACGACAGGCACGAAAGAAAACGGCGGCAGGCTGCTCAAACCTGGCAGCAGCGTTTACCGAGAGATAGTTCCGCGTTTTTCAGCAGGTTCTCGGAGCGAGATCCTGGTGATTCCAAGTTTTTTTCATAGGGCGCAGAAACTTCCAACCATTCGATTCGCAGGGCCAGGCCATCAGAAAGGAGATGAGCCTTGATGTCGTTGCTTTCATACTTCGTCAGAGCTTCCATGATTCGCGGGGCGTATCCCGTCAACTGGGATAGATGTGCTCCGACACAAAGAGAGGTGCAGAGGTCTCTTGTTTCCGAGAGCGAACTTCTCGGATTTCCCTCCATTTCTCTGGTGAAAAACTCATTGTAATCCTCAAGATGCTCCGCATGGAAGAGGGCTGCTTGGAACCAACTATTCCATCGGGTGAGGACTGGACTTGGGGGAAACTCCTCGACTTTCCCGTTATCCCTCAAAAATTGTCGAATCGACGGCTGTCGACCACCTCAAACGATGACTCACACGGAGGTATCATTCATTGCATCTTGTGGATTGTCCAGGAGCTTATCTACTTCCACGATCACAACGCGGCCGCGGTTGCGTTATTTACACGGTGAATCTTCCTATCGTTTCTTTGACCTTGTCGGACGCTGAGAGAACATCTCCAAGTTGCACCGCCGCGTCGAGAAGAACGGAGAGACGTTTTGCCGAGCGCAAACCAATTTCGCTTCGCTCCTCGCTCCAAAGCTCGTCTACGCTGTCTATCTAAGAATCTTCGATATTATACAGGAAAATTACTTAAGGGCCGCTTACAGCGCTGGAAATCATTTCGAAGAAAAACGCGAAATTTCGCGGAACCGTCGAATTATTTTATAAATTCGCGAATTTGATCGTGGGTATCGCGCGCGATGAATGCCCAGCTCTAGACATGGGACACTGCCACCGCTGATTCGAAGCCCCGCGGACTCGTTATCGTTCGGTCTGGGAGGGCTTGCCTGGGCCTACGGGCCGCAACGCCGAACAAGTTATTGTTCATGATCATCTATTCATATCCATGATCATGCACTTCTCCTATTGCTTCGCCTCATGAATTCCGAATAGAAGTCTACGGAGGTCAAGGAGCGGCCAATGACTCAATGACCCAGCCTTGCAACTTCTCTATTCGATCTCTCGGCATATCGAGGACGAGAAGTGAGGGGGACGATCGAGCGCTAAAGAGCTAGGAGCGTCTTCGAGTCCCTGCGATCATTGAGAGGAACCATCCGGATGGGTGTGTCTTCCCGCCAGTCTGCCGATCAGTCCTTCCAGCATTCTTGAGACAACGGGAATTGCGGAAGTTCTCCGGACTCCACTTGCCCGGCTCAAGAGTCATTATAATTTTATTAGCGTGCAGACTCCGAATCAAAAGCGTTCCGGAGAGTTCTTCCTGAAGGTCCCTGACCCCACGCTCGGAGAGTTCCAGAGTAATGAGCTTTCTCTGAACCTCACGAGCCTATTGCTTCGCGGTGATGCCGCTCCGTAGATTCTTTGGTGATGCCGCCAGGCGGACCGAGTCCGCCGGCACCGTTACGCGGCGTCTGTTTTCCTTCAATTAGGGCCTTTGCTATTGCGAGATTCTCCCGATAAATCTGGCTGGGTCGATCGTTCACAGCATGACCACCGACGGTGAGGAGGCTTCGAGGATTCGACGCACATTCCAACATCAGTTTCAAGAGCAGGTACGAACTTTTAGGAAATAGCGACAGCTGCACGTATTCCCGGTCGCTGGCAGAGCACCAAAACGTGCGCACGTTTTGTTTACCATGATGAATCGCGAGTTTCACCGTTCCGTTATCCCAGAGTGTTGCTCAACGGGCTTGCGCAGACGAGACGTGAATCCACTGGATCATGTCCGACCATGCCTTGTGAGGGACAAGAGTTTCATCTTGGCTGGGTGATTCCTCATAGCTCTTATACAAACGCTAAAACACGCATTCTACGACTTATGTGGAATATATTTGCGAGACGATCGGTACTACCTCCTACGATTCCAGACGGAGCACCTGCGAGGCAAATTGATGCGCCACATTTATTGTGGTGCGTGACTTCGCTCTACTCTCCCTGATTTACGATCCTTTCGGGTCGCTTGTGACAGATGTAAGCAGAGCCGAAGAGGCAATATCCAGCTTTCCTGTTGCCGGACAAGAAAGAGATTCAGCACTGCGAATGCTGGGAGCAGCGTCGAATAATACGGCAACGCCGGTGGAGACAACGCCCTCGGGCTCCAAAATTTGATCTTCTCTGCCTATGATGGATCAGCCGTTTTGAAGCCTCAAGCATCAAGAACAATACGCGATAACCCTACAGCGAACACCGGAATCGTATCGTATATGCAGGTTTGAGCAGCATAGACCATCAAAGATTCTTAAGATGTGGCTCCCGGAGCGTCACGGACGAGACCCAAGGGTTCACCTTCCTGAGCCCACAGCTATGGAGGGAACGAGCGATCTCGAGCTACCAGCTTCTTTCCCGACGGGAGAATCCAGCGCTCCGCCTTAGTTTGGAAATTCATCAAATTCGCGGAGTTCAGTAGAAGCCCGATCGAATCGATCTGTTCTTCCCAATATTATCTTGTCATAAATGTACATCTTATACCGTGCCCACATCTGAATCAGAGAAAATTCTCCGCGTCTCATGATTTTCAAACTTCCCGGACCGGCTCGTTCTCGGACACAGGCGCAACAAGTCTTCTCCCTCTGCCGCCTCCTAATTCGAGTTTCGAGTTCATTCTCGGGCGACGCCGACAGAGCGCGCGGAGAACTATCCCCACGTCGCTGCAGAGTGTCCGGCGAAGATTCATTCATAGGATATCTGGTCATAATACGAAGATTGATACCAAATACAGAGACGACCTCTCCAACATTCTCTTTTGAACTGCCCCTCTGTGTGTTCTGGATTTCATACCGATTCCTTATTTCCTAGGACGCTCCACCGTATCCCTCTCCTGTTTCCCCGCTTCCCCCTCCTGTTCACCCGTTCCCGAACAGACAATTTTTCCCGTGCGACTGTACCACAGGCGCGAGCCCACTGCAGGCATACCTTCATGTGCGTTGTTATCGATGATGAACAGTTTTTCCAGCGTGAAAACATAAATATGTCTGCAGGTCATCCCACACGCTGTCGTTTTTAGCATAAATCGAATCCTCACAAAGCAGGGACTAATGGAGCAAGCGCACCTTTCGCGACTCCAATTACGCATTCAGTACGATTTCGTTCGAAAACTCGGGATCGCCTAACCCGTTTACCCGCTTGACCGCCAGATCATATGTCGAAGGGAAGCGGGATGTCGCTCGTTATCCGCGAGGAACAAGCTCGTGCATTTGGG